GAATGGTTTTAAATTTTTGTTGCCCTGATGAACAGAATCAGTTTATATTGTGCGATGAATGTGAACTAGCGTCTAGACGATAACCAGAACACGCTTCACCTTCTATATTTAACAAAATCTATGCAGTAAATGTACGATGTGATTGATAAGCTGACGGAAACAACACCACTGTACAACAGATAGTAATCACATTGTACAATTGGTGGTTACCAGCGTAACGACAGAAGACAAGGGCCAGGCAACAGATCGTCCATTGAGAAAATCAAAGGATATTTATAGATTTTTATGTACATTATTATAGGTTCTTGTTAGCACCTTCTACTGATTGGCTGTTCTGTAGCTGAAAGTTAAACTGTAATCGCTTTGTGGCTACTTATTTGAAAGTCATATCATACGTATGTGAATCGTATCCGCCCACGCAAAGTCCTTTTCCTTGTTTTCCTCATGACCAAGATTTGGGACTTAAACTCTGACGTAAATTTCTGTCTACCAATTTTGGCTAACAGACAGCTCTCACCACACCAGTATGATAATGTGGATGTGTGATACATACAGGGTGTTTCGATTTGACACTAGTAACTAGTGTGATGCGTCTAGTCCTCTCATTAGTGCAGGCTGAATTTGATCAGTCAAGTTGTAATGTGGCCACCATTCTGGGTAGCTCGCCATCCCGATGCACATTAATTAGATAGTATTAGATGGTTGGAGGCAATCGGCCAAAGGAAGCCTTGGACCTAGGTTTCCTGCTAGTTGGCACTCACCAGTCAGTCAGCAAGGCATATCTACAACCTTGAAGGAACTCACATCCCTTCTGAGATTCGAACCCGCGTCACCCAGTGCTGCAGTCAGTCTGCACCGATGAGAGGACTAGACGCATCACACTAGTTACTAGTGTCAAATCAAAACATATCCACTACAGTCCTACAGGAAGTCAATCGCGAGCCCAAATAGCTCAATGGTGACGTCTCTGACTGCAGCATTCACTAGGTGACGCGGGTTCGAATCTCAGAAGGGATATGAGTTCCTTCAAGGTTGTAGATATGCCTTGCTGACTGACTGGTGAGTGCCAACTAGCACGAAACCTAGGTGGAAGGCTTCCTGTGGTCGATTGCCTCCAACCATCTAATACAGACAGAGTGTGCCAACGGAATATGATTCTCACATATTCCCACAGTTCAAATCGACACTAACAACAGAATAGGTTATATCTATCTGAACATTCCATTTGTTGCTAGTGTCAAAATATTATTCTCAGATTTCAATAGTGCGTTAACAACACAATACTATATATGTGTGTGAACATTCTATTTCATATCGTTTAATGTGCATCAAAATCGCACGCTCACTGATTGGTTGACGAATATAAACTGTAGATATATAAACAGCGGTAGGACTAATGAAGAATACACCTTGGTATCCTTGTCCTGCTTTCCGGTTTTACAATTTTTCTAGTCGTTGATATTGACGCATTTACAAATTGTTCACCAATTATGAAGCTAAACAGCTCAATAATGACGTTTCTGACTTCAGGACAAAAGTGATGCAGGTTTTGTATCTCACAGGCGACATCAGTTCCTTCAAGACACAGGAGATTCGCCTTGTTGAAAACTGCTGCAAACTAGTGTAAAACCAAGGTCTAGTGCCTACTGCCAATTGCCTCCAGTCAACTAACATCATGTGGCACTACTTGCTAGTCACTCGTAACGTTATGATAGATCAACTTAAGAAGTGTAATTATTCCCACTGATATGATCAATACCTTGCAGCATTGTTAACTTTCTTTTCTTCAGATTTACATCTGAAAGTTTAGTCCAGTTTAAGGGAATTACACTCAACTTTGGATGGTCACTTCTATAAATGAGTATAATTTATTCTGAATTTCTCAGACAATTTCTTTCTAATGTCATGCAAACTATAAAATCTCCAGACTAAAGCCAAAATGTTGACAAAAAAAGCAGCGAAAACAAGACCTAAGGTAAACACAGAGAGAGAGATAAGATATGGGTGATGAAGATACCGGATCAACAGCAACAACAACAACGACAAGTACCAATTACTGACAAAAGCAGAAGTTTGAAGGAAATCAACTGTTTAAACTAGTCAATGCAGCTTTGTTTCAACTATACACAGTACAGGTGAAGATGTCAAAGGAGGGATTAAAAAAGCAGGACAGACTTTCTGTCAATGGACGTGAACATTTAACACTTGTTTATTGGAAGTGGTAGCCATTGGCGGGAAACTCGAAGGCGCGAATGGTTGAATCGTGTACAATTTGGAATAAGACGAAAGAATACGAATAAAAGTATATTGTATTTTGTATAAAACATTTGTTTATAGACTTGTACTTCACTAGACTTTAATTGCTAAATAATACAACTTTCTTAAAGTACTGGTGTTTTGGAGTTAAAGTCGAGAAAGTCATAATAATTATCGGTTCGGAGCGTCTTCGCAAATAAAAGGAACTTAGGGTTCAGTTCCTTGACAGTTTCGTTACTTTGAAATCAGTGTGGAAATCTGCTTCAATCAGCATCAAGAACAAGATCCGGACTTTCAGCATTAATATCAAGTAAATACTGATGTATGGTTCAGAGACTTGAAGCATTTTGAACACGCTACTGCAGACAACCGTCTTCTCTCACTCAGTACTGAAGACGAGGTGGCCAGAAAAGATAAAACTCAAGGAACTTTACGACGTCTCATATCAGTGAAGAACCTTTAGCCTAGTCAATATGCCGAAATAAATGGAGTTGGATCCCGCATATACTCTGAAGAAAACTTTAATTGACATCATGCGCAAAGCCGATCCTCGTGTGGAACTCAAATGGGGAATAACAAGTTGGTTTTTGGTCCAACAGTGACACGGAGGAGACTGTATGAGGATAAGATAGAAACTTCTTGATAATCATGGATCCAGCAAAAGAGGAATAAGTAGAACAGGATGATATGCAGATGTGCTGCTGAAGCCGCGTGTTCCACTTAGCACTTGAGGTAATAATAATACACTTAAACTGTCTTCGTTTTACGGCATATTTTACCACAGACATTTAAGAGTACGAGAAGGCAAGTACACACTTGGATAGACGTTTATATCTTCATATATCTGCGCAACACGGGATGGAAGTACTTGGATTTGCCTTGATTACTGAAATACAATAGACAGACAATATAACTGCAGACTAAATACGATTGATCTTCATCAAATACCTTCTGATACCTTCAGACCACGAGGAAAAGCAAAAGAAAGGCAACTTTTTCACCATGAGCTGGCATTAATTAGAGAACCATTGGAAAACCTGAGAGTACTAGAAAGCTATTTCGTCCTAGTTTGGGATTCTCCAGAAGTACGCACCCACCGGGGTTCGAACTCTGGACCTTTTTGTTACAAGGTGAGCTTGTAGACCATTAAGCCACTGGGACCCAATCCAATCGCCAGCTCATGAATTCCAACTTCTGCCAAACCACGACATAGTGCAGTCGAATTATGTCTTAAATAATAGGTTCTGGTTAAAAGTGGTTTAACCTGGCTTAAGCTGATTCCAATCACAACTCAAGAAAGCGTATGCCTTGTTAAGTCTGTATAACGCTGCTGTGAAGGCAAGTGAAGCAGTTAAAAAAACACGGGCGGAAAGGAATGTCCCCACGTAATATTTATAAAAACAATTAATAAACTAGATATCTTTATTAGAAGAAAACAGCAAATGGCCTGGATTATACGATCTGGCGAAACCACTATTACTGCCTGAAACTCGCATAGGAAGTATCACTTAATACATATTTTATGCATAATATATATTAAAAAGATTTTCCTTCTTTCAAGAATATTTTATAGCCTAAAAATACTAAATCATCCCGAGAGGTGGGTCATGCGTGTAACATAAATTCATCCAAGAGGAAATCTACTGTCGCCAATGATTTTCCTGATTGCAGTAGATGGACAATGCGACATGCAGCGGCGGGCAGCGAGGAAACAGGCATAAAATGAAGCCACATAAAATACTTGGAGGATCTGGACTTCGCCGATGATATATGTCTGATTTCCCACAAACTGAAAGGTATGCAAGTGAAAAGCAACAAGTTGGCAGAAGAAGCATCCACAGAAGATAGGACTTCAGGTGAACATAGAGAAGACAGAGGTAGGTGATGAAGATTCCTGGCCAACAGCAACAACAACAGACAACATTCAGCCAGTATAAATGGGAGGAACCTGAAAGAAACAACCTCCTTCACCTACCTACCTGGAAAGCATCGTTTCAACTACAGGCAGAGGGAACCGACGAGTATATAAATGCAAGAATCCGAAAAGCAAGACAAGCTTTCATTACTCTCAAGTCTGTGTGGAAGTCAACAGCACTCACAACCAAAAATAAGACCTCGATTTTCAACTCCAATGTGAAGTCAGTGCTACTATACGAATCAGAGACTTGGCGAATCATAAAGAGCACCTCAAACTAACTACACACCTTCATTGACAGCTTTCTTCGCTCAATACTACTCAAGGTCAAATGGTCGGTCAGAAAAGATCAGCAACAGGGATCTCTGGGAATGAGCGAACCAATCAGGAACCGATTGTGCAACAGATAGGCAGGAAGAAATGGAGTTAAGTGGATTTGCCATACTCTGAGGAAACCATCAAGTGACAGCATTAGACAAGCCCTCGAGTGGAATCCAAACGGGAAGCGGCGAGTTGGTAGTTAGTGCGAGGATGACTTGAAGAGGTCATGTGAAGAGGAGAGGAAAGCATGTGGACAGACTTAGAGTCAGCTGTAAACTCTAGCAGAGAACCGAACACAATGGAGACGCGTGGCTGAAACCTTATTTTCCTCTAGGAATTAAAGGAGATAATAATAATGCAAGAGCAAATGTATGTCATTTTGACACAGTTTATTGGACAATCTCTACACATATGATTTATTCCTTCTGACCGCCAAAACAAATAGTCACAACAGTCAAACAACCGTGAATGTATATGCATTTCAATATTCTTGAACACATCAAAGTAATTATCTAGTAATTGACGTCTTTTTCACTAGATTAAATACAATTAAACTTCGTACAACCTCTTGAAATCGTTGTATTCGTGCATAGAATATAAAGATATTCAATGAAGACAGTAGAAAAAGAAACAGCCATTCAATAGACACAATTAATGCTGTCAAACGAATCAACTCCACTGGAAGTTTCCATGTTCTATAAAAGACTATCGTTGTAAGAAGTACACAAATACCACTTGGTAGAGCAGATAACAATGCAGTAATATGTAAAAGAAGTAAAGTAATTGTTGATGAAATATGCTTCATCATTTCTAATGATGACTGTAAATCATTTGATCGTTGACGATGATCGCGTGACCATTTAATCATCTTAACTAAGTAGAAGACATCGAATACAGTGACAACAGACAGCTGGGCTAAACACGTGTTTGAAAATAAACTTTGATAGAGTTGAAGAAGATTATGATGGCTGGTATACCAACATGTTGTAAAATTGAATATTGATAAGACATCAGTGTACAGGACAATAGGCAATGTCATTAGAAATGCAGTGATGCTGACAAACACTAAAAGTATCCATATAGGATATTTAGACACTTGTTTATACAACATCGGCTTATACATTAAGATGCATCTGTCATTACCGGTTAAAACAAAAAGATTCCCTCGGAGAATACAACAAAATGCTTGATAAAAAGTGATCAGCTTACAACTGATACTGGATCTTGTCAAAATAAAATAATATACTCTTCCGGATGCTGCATACGGTAGACCATATGTTGGAAATAATCCTAACCAACCGACTGTAATCGTAATTCCAATATCGCATAAAGCCAGTACACCGAGAAATATGAGGTGTCTGCTATTTCGACAAGATGGATAAAGAAATGCAATAGTGATAAGAGTATTGGCAATTAAATTAAACACTCCAATAGGTGGAAATACATAAGCGGTTAATATTCCAAGAACTTTAGGCGTTTTACACAACAATTCACTATTGTTTGGATCTCCATGTTCTAGTGTTGTACACTCAGCTAATGTATATGAACGAGAGAAAAATTCTGTCCAATTGGTTACAACTTGCATGGTTAAAAGTTTGAGTAAACCTTTTGTACTAGGCTTTATCCCATTTATATACATTTTGTTTGATTGATGAATACCCACCTACCCCACACTATGCCTGTATTAAAAATACCCTAGGGAATAAAACAAACCACCGTGTATAACACTATTTAATATATTATTTTTTATTAATAATGACTCCCTAAAAAACTATTCGTTAATATTAGTTAATTTTAATCTCATCTCATGAAGACTATTCAATCAGATAATGCTAACTATCATTAATAAGCCAATAATAATAGATTGTGGCTAAAACTATCAAGTTAAATGATCTATCATCATTATTTTGTATTTTTTTGTGTTTCACTTCAAGAGTACTCATATTCCACCCATTTCTCTGTCTAGATTGCTTCATTTGTCTTGTACAATGATACATTTAAGCGAACAATATTGTGTATCATTGATATAGGAATAAAACTCGTGAACTGTGGTAGAGTGTAGTTCCATTATGGGTAAGCATTACTGTATAATACTGTGAGACTTTATCAAAACAAAACTTACCCATAATGGAACAATATTGCGGTTTCAGTTAGATCTCATCAGGCTTAACTCAAAGCCAGAATCGGAAAAGCAAGACAAGCTTTCATTACTCTCAAGTCTGTGTGGAAGTCAACAGCACTCACAATCAAAAATAAGATCCCGATTTTCAACTCCAATGTGAAGTCACTGCTACTATACGGATCAGAGACTTGGCGCGTCATAAGGAGCACCTCAAACAAACTACAGACCTTCATCAACAGTTGTCTTCGCTCAATACTCAAGATCAGACGGCCAGACAGAAAAGATCAGCAACAGGGACTTCTGGCGATGAGCGAACCAACCTGGAACCGATTGTGCAACAGATAGGCAGGAAGAAATGCAGGTGGATTGGCGATACTCTGTGAAAAACATCAAGTGAGCAACATCACTAGACAAACCCTCGAGTGGAACTCGAAAACGAAGTGGCGAGTTGGTCGTGCAAGGGTGACTTGGAGGAGGTCATGTGAAGAGGAGATGAAAGCATGTGAACAGACTTGGAGCGGGGTGAAAAAGTTGGCAGAAAACAGAAGGCAATGGAGATGCGCAGCTGAAGCCCTATATTCCTCTAGGAATTAAAAGATATAATAATAAATATAATAAAACAAATAAAAATTCTAATATTAAACCAATCATGGTGTTTTGTCTATAGGATAATACAATGGTGAATATAAATTGTGCAATTAGTCATAATAGTAGTAATGATAATATTAATAATAGTGATAATAATAATGGTCTTATCAATAATAAGGATGAAAAAGTGAGGCAATCTGTGATAACACGAATAATGAAAAAATAGCATGATTAAACAAACAATTGTTCAGGTAGAAGTAGTCGATAAAGGCTAGTAAAAACAAATGAACCGATTAAGTAATGTTAGATTGTAAGGGAAGTAAATGAAACACGTTTATAATGAAAATGTGTTAAGTAAGATTAAGGGATGATAAGAAAGGGGTTGAAAATATAAACAAGGTGTGGTGTAGAAGTCATTAGTTGGTTATGTCTTAATAAGCCAAAGGGGGATAATCGCTTTACAAACTTCTTTTGAATGCATAGTTTAGGTTTAATAGTTCGAATGCCTATCGCCACAGCTGTGTGCAGTAGACGAATACGAAGTCTATTAGAAAGATTCGGTGGGATACGATGAATTACTTTGAAGGCTTCCGTTTTATCGACTACATGACCACTATCAATTAGATGTGACAGAATTGAGCTACGGATTGTTTTAGTCTTCCTTTGCCAAACCACGATGGGAGATGTTCACTAACACGTTGGCTAAGCTGTCTAGTAGTACGCCCAATATAACTGTCACCGCAGGTGCAGTTGAATTGATAAATACACATGGATGTGGCAAAACTATTAAGCTTATCCTTCGTTTGCGTCCCAATCATTCGTTGGCTAGAGAATGACAAACATAGGTGTGCTGAGTAAAATGTTCTACATATACTCCTTGAAAGTCTTTGGAATAGAATCTCACTTGATAAGTCACCATTATATTGTAACTTAATAAATAGAGGTTTCTTTCGTGCAGTTAGAGTCTTAAGTTTTTTCTCTGATGTTTCCATATGTTTCTTTATGAAACTATTCGGATAACCCATCTCCGCCAAGGAATCAGGAATATATTCAAATTCTTTTTGTAATAGGTCATCCGTACACATCTTTCTTTCTCTACTCGCAATACATTTAACAACATTCCTTTTATATTTAATGTGAACGTAACTAGGGAAGTGTGTGTGTGTGATTGCCTGTGAATCTGCTTTTTCTATACACGCTTCTCCCAAGTGACACATCTTCTCTCCTACTTAGCAAGACATCCAGAAAATCTTGTTTATTCTCCTAACAATCGAACATTACTTAATCGGTTCATTTGCTTTTAATAGCCTTTATCGACCACTACTTCCACCTGAACATTTGTTTATTTAATCATGCTATTTTTTCATTATTCGTGTTATCACAGATTGCCTCACTTTTCATCCTTATTATTGATAAGACCATTATTATTATCACTATTATTAATATTATCATTACTACTATTATGACTAATTGCACAATTTATATTCACCATTGTATTATCCTATAGACAAAACACCATGATTGGCTTGTATTTGAATTTTATTTGTAAACTTTTAAAGGTATATTATAGTTAAACCCGATGAGATCTAATGAAACCACAATATCAGTGTTCGCTTAAATGTGGTGTTCTAAATTTTACTATGGGAATGTTCAATATATTATACAACGATATCAAGTATGATCAAATATTGATGGGGAGAATATCTCAGATAACCTTCAGGAAGTAGATTACCATTGGTGTAATGGGTGATGACTGAAAAGTGAACTAACATTCTGAATCATAGCAGGTTTCAAACCAGTAACAACCTAGTCTAGTAAGTTAATCGTGATAGCGCTTTTAAATGTTAATATGAATGTGAATGAAGGCAAATGCAAACTCTCCTCTGTTTTTTTATACCAGTCAAAGTATTTTAAAGAACAAAGGTATGCTTCCAGGAAATATTTTAGAGCTCTAAGTGATATCTTTGTAGTTCCGGTAGCAGCAGTTTAATTTTTACACAGTGGGTTTGTCATCCTCTCTACCCTATTTACCAGTCTTACAACCAGTTTAGGAGTGAGTCTACTGGGAATTGAACCCCGGACCACATGAAAGGTTGGCAGGTATTCTATCATTGAACTACCAAGCACTTTAGCAGATGCATTAGAATTTAACTACTACCGATAATGATTTGCGTCGATAACTGAGTATTACAGTTCTTGGCAACCATTAACGTGTTCAAGGTTAGATTCCCGTTCCATGTACTCACTAATCTGACCCAGTCAGTGGTAAGCCTGGTTAAAGACAGAAATTTGAAGACGTGAGGATAGCAGTTCAACCTGAAACTTCAAGGCTTAAATTTTGGAGTCTATGTCTCACTTAGGACGGAAAGGAATGACAAAAATAACTAGTACTGTCTGAGGTAGAATTTTCATGGAAACTTAACTCTGTAAGTACTCATAGCAGTCATGAATAGACTTTAATTCAGTCACTTATGTATTACATTACTGATTCTGAGCTAGAAGCTCCTCTAAACTGGCCAACTGATAATCTAAACGAATAGAAAAGTGGCAGCATATTCTATGAAGAGCCTTAAACTTGACCTGTCTAACCTAGACTACTCACTATCTACCGGCAATTTATTGATATTCTTCAGGGAGTTTGTATTTCCCGTTGACTGATTATACTATACCGATGGTGTTTTAAGATTAACGCGATACTATCTAGTGGATGTGCGTCGGTGGCATAGCGGTTAGCACACTCGCCGACCATGCACATGGTCCGGGGTTCGATCTTCGGCCACAGATGTATTCCTTTACCTCTCTAAGCCAAAAATAATGCTGGTAAAGAGGAGAGGTTGGGCATGAGGCACGGAACCCCATCCTGTAAAAATAAATACTGCTACAGAAACTTCAAGCGACTAGCTTGAAGCCCTATGTTCCACTGGGGAACGTGAAGGAAAACAAATCTAGTGGATGGTGACTGGTAACAGAATCCAAGATGCACACTTTACCCTATTTGGGTTTCGTCATCTGGACGTACCAGCAGATCTCAGTGAATCATGGTGATCCTTCCGACACTCAAAACCAGAAATTATTATTTCAAACGACACAGAATTTTCCACTAAACCACAAGGGAAAAAACAAGTGAATTTCTTATTTCCCTTGATTGAGTATATTGGATTACACACTTTCACTCAAAGTGGACCGTATGTATGCGGTGAGAGCTATCTGCTAGACAGCAATTTACGTCAGTTTTTAAGCCCTAAAATCTTGGTCATGAGAAAAAACAAGAACATGCATGACCTTTAAATAAGAAGCCACAAAGAGATGACAGATTAACTTTCAGCGAGAGAATAACCAATCAGCAGAAGCTGTTTTTCTGTTAACAATAACCTATAATAATGTACATAAAAATAAATGAATATCTCTTGATTTCCCCAATGGACGATCTGTTGTCTAGCTACTGTCTTCTGTAGTTACGTATATATATAATTTTAAATAATAATTACATTAGTGGATAAGATTGTCAGTTAACTGAGCTATTGTCATCATAGATTACAAACGGGAGATAATAAAAGTCAGTTATTTAGCTAACAACATAGTAATTCATAAGTTCCAGAGTCAGTATACATCACTGAAACCCCCTGAAACGTTCGCACTAGGATTTTATGGCTCGCCTAAAGTGCCCAGAAATGGTGTACCGCTTCGATCAGTGTCAAGAATACTTTTGGATTTGTTGAAAAGATAAAAGATTTAAATGTTGATAATAGATTCATGACATCATTTAACATATCTTCCTTATTCAACATGTACCACCTATGGAAACAGTAGACTTTGTATGCGAAGAACTCATAGGACAGAACGTCGGTGTTGGCATTCCTTATCTTTTATAAAAAAGCTTCTCTTGAAATGCACAATGAATGTCCACTTTTTATTTAATAAAGAACTATATGGACAAATTGACGTTGTGGCAACGCAGTCACCACTAGGACCCATTCTAGCCGACATTTTCCTTGAGAAACTAGAAAATGGGCCATTGAAAGATGTTATTGATGAACTTGAATTCTGTTGTCGGTACATGGATGATACATTTTTGTTTATGAAAAATGAGAAGGAAGCAAAGAACATGCTGGATAAATTTAACCAGTTTCAAGACTGCAGTAAATTTTACTATTGAGAAAGATAAAGACTCTAGTATTTCATTTCTAGACGTCCTTATGACCAAAAAAGAGAATGGCACAATAAGAAGAAGTGTATATAGAAAACCTACAATAGCTAGTCACTATACTCATTTTTTCAGCTTCGTGCCCTTAAAATAAAAACGCAATTTGATAAAGTGATTGGTTCATGGAGCAAGAGTAAACTGCTGGGATGAATGTCTTGATGAGGAACTTGATAATATTAAACGGTTATTGAGCGTTAAAACGATTATCCAGAAAAGTTTATTGGTAAGAATATCAATCTAAAATCAAAGCAGCTCAAGGAACCTACAGTTCCGAAAAAGGCCTTATTCTTACAAACGCAGTTCCTTGGGAACAACATTGGTGAGATACTATTTCTATTTATTTTCTATTTTTGATTACAGCTTGATTCCACACCGTATTTTTGATACAAGTATGGAATTTTCAGCGTGGATATCGGTAGCCCAAAATTCGCAGGCCGACCATAGATATCAGGTGTGCGTCGGCGAGGGCTCGAACCCGGGACCATGTGCATGGTCGGCGAGAGTCCTAACCACTGTGCCACCGACGCACAACGCCTTAGAAATGCAGTAAAAAGAGCGTTCCTTGCCTCTGAATTACGCTATGTATTCAAAACCACTCCTCTTTTGCGTTCAGGAGTAAAAGACTAACTGCCGAATTTCGCCTCTTCCCTATGAATCTACCAAGTTAACTGCTCCTCTGGAACCAGTTACATAGGCATGACAATTGGGCGTGTTTCTCGTCGGATTTCCGAACTTCAGCCTGTGTGGTTAAGTAAAGGACAAACAAAATCTATTCGTAGCGCTATTCTATCTCATCTTGTGGATACAGACACAACACAAGATTGATGTCAACCAGGCTTTCAGGGTCATTTACCGCATACCGACAAATCTTAACTTCACCTTAAGAGTTCGATTACTAAATATTACTGAGGCTGTTGGAATCTACATTCAAAAGCCTAATTTATGCGTCCAAAAGTAACTAGTTCAGACATCATCCTTACGTTGGCCACCTAGGTTTGAATGATTCTCAGTTTTTGTGGAAATTTCCTTAATTTTAGTTGATATTCTGTTTGTTACTATATCTTTATTATTATTATGATAATTTAACCATCTTTAATGAACTGTAATTCCGTTGTGATCTTACTTAACAAATCGATATTATTTAAAGCAAAACACTAATATTGTTATTGAGTACTAATCTAGAATATTCTGAGTATATAAACATATATGCATATAATTGTAGAGCCAGAGGAGGAGGGATTTATCGAAAAGGATATTATTTGCTCAATTATTTTGTGTTTTATATATATGTCTAAATAAATATTTTCGCCATTATTTATTGTTTAACTTTTCAAAAATTTACTCTATTCCCTAGATTGGTAAAGCCTTTAGTTAGTAATGAATATATAAGTTCAACTGCGTAGTGTGAAACTCGATTAAACACCCAAGGTATGCATTATGAATCCAGCAATCGAGTAATTCATAACATATTTTTAGTATGTACACAAAACATGGATATATAGGTCAATCTATATTAATTATTATTATTTTCAGTACTGTAGACACCGCCTAATATATTCCATCTGATAATAATAATAATTATTATTATTATAATGAATGCTGTACTCAACTGTGATCACATAAATTGCGTTCAGTTATCACAACTTCATACATATTTGACCTAAATAATCCATTGTAACTTGTAGTCATGGTTGCTGTAATAGGCAAATCTTTTTTCGTTCTCTGATCATTGCGGTAACATGTACTAAAGTGTTATACCCAGATATATATATACGCCTTAAAACAATGTAAGCTATTAATTATCATGGCCAATAGGACAGAATGGAAAGAATGGACTACACCATGGGATACTTTAATCGACTGTATACTGTTAGCAAATGGAGATCCAAATACCAGTGAAGTCATGTGTCGTATAGCCAGCGTTTTTGGAGTTGTAATGGGTTATATATTTCCATGTGTCGGTGGATTCGGAATAATTACTAATTCGATAGTTGCTTTTATATTTCTTGTTCTACTTCGTCATGAAACAAAACATTTTATATTTTTAGGCGCACTTGCCTTGGCCGACATCGCTGTGTCCATAAATATGGGTTGGTTATGGTTTTTTCCGTCTTATGGTCTACCGTATATTTCTTCAGGAAGTATATATTATTTCCTGTTGACTAGATCAAGTATAGTTTGTCGTTTATCTATATTTTTTCAAACTTTCTTTTGTATTCTCCGAGGGAATATTTATGTATTACTGGCCTTTGATCGATTATTTTTTATGCACAAACCATTGGTCTACAATAAAATTCCTAGATATTACACTGGAATTCTTTTGATTGTAGTCATTATTCTTACTGTTTTAATGTCACTCCCCATTACACTATTTGTTGATCTGATATCCGTAAAAGGCTTATCCACATGTTGGTTTAGTAGTCAAACAAAGATACTACCATTCTATCAAGTGTTATTCTCAAATACATGTCTAATTCAACTCACCATAGTCGCACTGTTCGATGTCTTCTTTCTGCTGAAAGTGTTAAACTGGTCACGAAGTCGTCTTCAAGTCACTGAAACTGCAGTTAAAGAAAAGAAAACTATTTCACCAATTATTACTCTTCTTGTGTTAAATATTTTATCATTTTTATTTGCTGCACCAAGTGGTATAACCTATATGATTTTAGTTACATATGAAAATGCACCTTATGAATATATTCGTATGTTAACATTTTTTATTTATATTTCATGGATTTTAATATTTCTTCAATCTTCACTGAATATTTTACTTTATTTTATCCGTATCATTAAATTTCGTCGAGTTCTACAAAAGCTGATTTGTTGTAATTTTGGAAAAATATCAAATGTCAGTAAAGATTCAACAGTGAGTTCATTCAAATAAAAATTATCTAATTAATTTTAAACTGATTACTTATAACATAACGTTAATATAGTTTCCTTATCCATTACAATTATTTCTTTGTTTAAATGCATTAATGGAGCAGCATTAATGCACGCGCCGAATATAATTCAAAAGTTTTCAATAGAAAACAGTCATAATAATTGTTTCTTTTCTGGAAGTATTATATTCAAAAGAATGGATACTGAACAAAGAGTACTCTTTCAATAACGCCTTCTTCATCAGGCTCTACAGTTATTTATATACATTATAGTGAATGAATGAATTAGTGTTATGATCAACATTAATGCTGTTTAAATAACATCGAATCAATAATAATACCAATGGATTACAGTTCAATAGCATCAGCATAACAATAAAATGAATGTCAGAAAAATTAGGAAAGATAATATTAAATAAAGTATAATTATATTTCAATGTTTCACACACATTGATAAGTTTTGTTATTGGTAATATTTCGAGCAAAACTACTGCCCATGTTCACACCACTGTTGGAATTGTGTTTAAACCATTGAAATATAATTATACTTTATTTGATCTATTCCACAATGCTCAAACTTTTTACCGACATTAAAGATAATATTACAAATTTTTATGAATTCATAGTATCTACTGAAGGCCAGCTAGAGCAGTAGTGGTGGTTTGGTGGACTTGCTTCTTTTGCACACGGGACATTGGTTGTTTGAGGCGAATTGCAAATAGCCTCTGCTATTTGCAGCATGCGGTGATTCGATGTTTTTGGCAATTTATTTGGTGCCCGTTAGATGATGGGGAAGGATTCTTCAATGCTGGCTGGCTTTGTGGCCAGTTTGCACCAGATGGTTTTAGCAGCGTTCACATGCATCCGGGTACTGAAAGCATACATATTATGAAATGTTTGCTCACTTTGTTTTGAGAAATGTCAGTTACATGCTAAACTTTTATTCTAATCTTCATTACAACTCAATTTTACTCATACACTTTTCACCAAGAAGGATATTTTTATGACCAAGTTATAAAAAATGGGTTTAACAAAATGTTTGTTAATACCTACTTTAGGTTTCTCCTTTATATAATAATAAGTGCTTCAAGCATAAATTGATGATGAGAATGCGAAGTTTGACAGTACTCGAATTCAGTCTTTTTGAAAACTGCAAAGGATAAATAAACTTGAGATGAGTGAACTGTGATCACTTTTCAATAAGCGACAGGGGTTACTGTTCAACGATGCATTTTTGCAGAACTTACTCACGACGTCCAATGTGATCAGCTTCATATGAGTATGTGAATTATTAGATAAATATAATGCTTGATACTAGTGTAAAAAACTATTATTTGTAAAATCTCAGCGAGACTGAAATGAGTAATTCCAACGTTTCGTTAGGCAATCTGGTCCGAACTTCTTCAGGAAAACTAATCGAATAGAGATTTATATATAAAAGGAACACCTCTTGTTTTTAAAAACTCTGTCCAATCATGTGAATCATGAAACAGTTATCAACAAGTATAATAAACAAAATTGTATGTTCTGTGATCAAAATTTGACCTCACTTCAATCTCGCTGAGACTTTACAAATATAATTTTTTTTACAAATGTCTACTTCTTACTCGGCGTCAAAATATTTTAGAACTATTCTGTCAAATCTTGACGACAGTTTATTTGAACAGACACCAGTGGTTAGTTTATCCTACACTGCTTATCGATTTACACCTTGGTTTGAGAATACTGAATATACGTCAACAGTATAGACAATACGTTTAATACTTGGATGCAGGACTTTTAAGAGCATCAGCATCGATGCCTTTTTTGAATGTTGTAACAAGTGTCTTCCTCGGAGTAGTGTAAGCTAGCCATAAAAAATAACAGCTAAGAGAAGTTCTAAACGAGACCGTATGTGTTAACTCCATTTCTTTGGTTATTATTAAATCTACAGTGGATATTGGAGGTGCCTTTCAACATTAGCTACTTTCAGTAATTGATTGATGTTCCAACATCTTTATTACTCAAGATCAACCTAATCACATCAAACTAACAGATAGCTTCCCTTAATGGAACGTGTGTAAATGGACAGCGAACATTTGTTGAAATCATATCCGCCTAAGTAATAATGATTTCATGAAAACAATCGACTAAGTCAAAAGTGTCTTAACTTCATTCACTATATTATATATTGGTCGATAATTTTTTTCCTGTGATTGTATGAAATATCTGTCATAATTTAGCGTACACTTAGTATTCAACGTAGAAAGCTAATTTAAGCTTATCAGTATTCGTCGAAATAATGTACAGTTATGGCGAAATTCATATGCCTTAAATTTCAAACTCCATTTGCATGTACTTTGGATTCCGCATCGTTATCTTCCTCTCATACTTTCTATTTATCTTTTAATTCATGGATAATCCTCATCCAGGCAGCAATGAAAACAAAACACGTAGTTCAGCGAAGAGTCTCTTTTCAGCAGGGAATTCATTTTCTTAGCTGTACAATCGCATATATATATATATATAGGTTATTTTGTATGTATGTGTACATTAAGTTGTCACACAAAATTGCAATTGGTTATGGTTATTTTAACTAAACAGTTGAAGATTGGCAACTGGAGTTGCGCAATACAAAAACGGTCAAGAAAATTAGGTGTCAATGAAATTAGGGTAGTATCAAAGGTGATGAGTTGTCACAAACAGTTGTTAAAAAGAAGTCACGTAGTAATATGAATAGTTTGATGATTGAGTTTTATTAAGGATACACATAGAAGTAAAGTAGAGAATACGAAATTACGTAAGAGTTCTAAATGAATAGAAGAATAATAAGCAGTTAAATAATTATGAGCAATTAAAGAAACAGGCAAATAAACAAAAGTGAAGTCATGAAAAATCAACAAAGTTGTTACTACGACAGAAGTGGTTGAGTAATTCTCTTTTGTAAAACAGAAAGATTGAGCGAAGAAATATTTACTTTTCAATTAGATCCTCATCTCTAGCTCTACTCTAATATACACGTATAGCATTTTTATTATTACAAATACACAACAGTTTACCAATCAAGTTGCACTGATATGTTTGTTAACAATAATTATTCAGTATCAAATGTCAATTGGTTGATAGTTAATACACATTTAAAAGGTAGAAATGGTTAGAATAAATTAATTTTGCAAGGATAACACGTAATTAAATATGAAGTAGTCAGAAAAAATGAAATAATTTGGACAATTATAATTTTTATAATTTATAAGGTTTAGGGGGAGGGGGCGAGGTAGTCCGGTTTATACATTCATGTAACGATGGCCACGGTAAGGAAAGTGGCTGTACAAATTTCTTCTGAACACACAAGTTCGACTTCTTCAGGTGGATTCCTATTGCTTCAGCTATGTGTAGAAGACGAACTCGTAGAGCAAAGTTAAGATTAGTAGGAATGTAATAAATAATTTTAAATGCAGTATTGACGTCAACCTTATGCTTACTGTCTACAGGGTTTGCTAAAATAGAGTTGCGAATAGATCTTGTTCGTCCCTTGCTTAACCATGTTGGATGATGTTCGGAAATACGATGATGAACTTGTCTAATTTTACGCCCAATGTAGCTGGCTCCGCAGCTGCAATCAAGTTGGTAGATACACGTAGAAGAGGCAAATTTAGGTAGTTTATCCTTATTTCTAGAAAGTAGAATAGGGGTGATTGTGAAAAGCCAATGTACCTCTGCTGCTTAATAAGCTCTTCTAACTGCATCCCTCAGGCGCTGTGTTATCATTTCTCTGATGTTGTCACGAGGAACTGCAGTTTTACGAACATTGGTTTTTTCGGGACTGTTTCCATACTGACTCTCCTAGGTGCTGAATTCGTATTTTCCTCAATGAATTTATCTGGATAACCATTTTTTCTAAGTAATTCGCCAATAAGCTTAAGCTCCTCATTGAGGCAGTTGTCTGAGCAGATTAACCAAGCTCTATGAACCAGACACTTTACTAGGTTACGTTTATATTTCAAAGGTACAAAACTCGAAAACTGAGTGTACTGACCTGTTGTTGTAGGTTTCCTATACACACTACTCCTTAGTGTGACATCTTCTTTCCTTGCCATGAAGACGTCTAAGAATGAGCTACTGTGATTACTTTCTTTCTCCATGGTAAAGTTTATTGCTGAATGTGCATCACTAAACTTGTCAAGGATGTTCTCTTTTGTGTGCACAACTCCGGTTTTCCTATCAATACAAAATGTTGAATAAAGCATACAGGTGAAGAATATTACCATCAAATGAATCAGCATGATCTGAGATGCAGCTGTCAGCATATTTTCCTCATTTCATAGATATCCAGGTTTATTGGCGCTGTATAGGTAGTGATTTGGAATTTTACATATTCCGCAGAGTGTCGCCGTGATCATGGAAAGTATACATATGCTTTAAATACATTACTTTGCTCGCTACTGCCTCCACTGATTGTGTAACAACAGAAGACAAGGGCCAGGCAACAGATCGTTTTATTATGAAAATCAACACGTATTTATACATCTTTCAACTACATTATTATAGACAAGCGCAGTCATCTGATTGGTTGTTTAGGTAGACAAACGCAGGCTTCTGATTGGTTGTTTCGGGATTCCTTGACAAATAGAGTTCTCTCTGCGAATCATATTTTGCCACGTTAACTTTGCTGTGATTGGTTGTTGACTCAGGCTTGTTCATATTTTCTCACGGCCCATATTAGTGACCTAGACCTTAACGTAGATTAGTGCCAACCAATCGGCTAGCAGCCTGCTCTCACCACAATTGTATACAACGGCAGCTGCGGATTTATGTATTTCCTCGACACTGTGGATAAAACATCGCCGCATTCTTTTTGGAAAGAAGGCCAGTTGGTGGATTATAAATGATGTCCAAGTAATATATCTTTCCATGTGGTGTTGCGGTAGGTTTCGACCTTGTTTTCTCATATATCATTCCTATGTTGGTTATGGTTCGCCCCTTATATCAGGTAGGTGTGGTTCGATCGACTTTTAATAGCATGGGTATTATTGTCATGACTGCTGCTTTTTTGTCTGGAATTATAAATAGAGGCAAAACAAACAACAGGTGTAGTCTCTAAGTTCATACATTAAATGGACCTAGGATTTGTGAAACTCTCACATGGGAATTAGCACTGGTATCACTTGCAAACTCACTTAGTGTGTCATTAAGTGCCTTTTCAAAGAAGGCCAATGTGCTTGCTAGTCGCATTTCCTCATATGCCCCACATTTGGGCATACCTAATCAAGAAAACTTTTGCCTGGTGGCT